TGTTTCCCTTCAGTTTGTTTGTTTCTTTCCCCAGCCCAGCCTTGACTTGTACCAAGACAGACGTGAGAGACAGAAAGAGGGACAGACACGCAGACAGTTGTTCAAAGATCGTCTGATTTTCCATAACGTGCCAGCCAGCCTCCAGCTTGCCCTGTCTGCTACATATCTGTTAACCCATGCTCGCACATGTTCATCCCACACGATTAACCACCCCGGATCTACATGGTACACTTGTGGCAACTTCCAACTGCCTGATGCAGCCTGATTTGTCTCCATCTTCCAGAGTGTCCTCCCCTGACTAAGAGCTCCACGACGATAGATGATCGGCAGGAACTTGGGGACTACCAATACCACTTACACAGTACACTACACTACAGCACTCAAACCCAAGTTGAGCCAAGCTAACTATACGAAAGACTTTCAAGATCGGTGTAAGAACACCCCCCCACCCCCCTCCCCTCCCGATACTGATGTTTATTATTACCGTGCTAGAGCCGCAAAAAATGGGAGGAACACACGCTGTTATTGCCAAGCTTAGATCGGCTGTAAGTGTACATATCTAAGAGTTTGGTACACTACAATACCACCACCAGGCCTTTCCATTCTTTGCAGAGAGAGAACATCACATGTCTTTGAGCCCTTTTTTCTGTCATATTGTTTGGGGGGGGGATGAGGGGTGAATAGTCCAGGGACAGAGCGGGAAGGGGAATAAAAAAAGGATGCCTCGTAATGCCATCCATACTACTTACGTGCATATCTCTCGGGACCTCTCTCGGGACCTCTCTCGGGACCCGACATTGCGGTACCACGACGGGAGGAGAACATGACCTCAAGCTCGCTGTCGATTCCCCTGCTGAAATGCAGCTACGTATTTGTGAACTACTAAGTTCTCAATTCACACGCTAAACTTGGAGAAGTTCAACATTCTCTTAAGGCATGAAGCTCTGGGCCCTGAGATGAAGAACCTTCGAGCGGTTCATCAATACATAAAAGTGTGCCTTTATTTGTTCTTTTTTTTAAAATTTTAAAATTTTTTCATAATTTTGCCTCGTCCGAAGTTCTCAACTTTCATCATCCCACCTCGAAAAGGTTTGCTAACCTACCAGATCCCGAGTGACGTCAACGGCGCTTGGCTTTCCGAGTTCGGATGACTAAAATTTTGAGTCCTGTAACATGAGATGATGTATTGGCTGTTTATGCGGAAAAACGTGAGTTGGAAGGAAAACAAATAGTAACCATGAGCTGATGAAGTTAGAAAGTTTGCAAAAACGACTTTGTTGAAGTGTATGTCATGGTGTTCAATCGAGCGAGAGGATACCTCTAGACCTAGGCATTTCCTGATTGATGCGTGCTAAAAGGGACACTAATCTCATGTATGGGCGGGTAGGGTATAGGTAGACCGAAAGACACATCAAAGTAGGATTAGGCTGGGTTGGTCGCGTGAGTGAACAGAGTTATTGACAATGGATGGATGGGCTTGGGTCCAGTCCTCGTGATGAAGAGAAGTGTGTCGATGTGTCTTTGAGGGTTTCCATGTCCCTCCTGCATCGAGCGGTCTTGGTGAGATGTGCAGTGTAATTATAGTGCAGAAAAAAATAGGCGCCGTGAAAGGTTGGTCTGGTGGAACAAAGGATATTTGAAATATGTAAGCACTTGAGGCGTTGTCGCGAAGCGCCTTGAGCGTACCAAACCTGTCAGACCTGTGAATGAAGCGATTCACAATTTGATGAGTATCGGTTGCCGCCGTATCTGATCTGCATCACAGACATGCTACTTGTACGGGAGTCGATACAGCGAACCCGCAGACGGCGTCGATGGTTGGGGGCTCGGGGAGGGGCGTGCAAATTCCGATGGACCAGCATGGCATGGGCGGTGCTGGCCAATGAAATGGCAATGGAGATCGGTTCCTTCGACTGATCGAACGAAAAGGAAGGAATGTGCACGAGCAGAAGCGGGCAGACTGGCAGACAACTCTTTCCGCTTTCTCATCGAGACAAGATGCCAAGACGGTGCCGAAACAAGCGGCAAAGTGGATACCCTCCCAAGACATCGATTCCCTTTGGCTGTCGGCTCTTGTGAGCTGGGACCGATTGGGACGACTGGGGACGATTGGGAGCTTCGGGTTTTGGGGTCACGGGCAAAACTTGGAACTTGGGCCAAAAATTTGAGGTGAAATATCAACGGCAATCAAGGGTGTTCCCAACTCCTCTTTTGCAGGCCCTGACACTGACAGGTGCCCTGTGTGCCCTTTTCGGCGCTCTCTCCCCTTTTTTTTCTCCAATCTGCATCGAGTGTTGATGAACGGGCGGCCCTCCTCCGAGTAGTGTATAGTCTTCTCCGACTGTTCATGTGCATCCGAACTTCTGGGTGCTGGTAGTAGGTGGCCTCACCGTCTTTGCTACTTTTTCTGTTTTGCCAAGCCATGAGTGTGCCGTGTGTGTGGGACAGCGAGTCTGGTGAGAAAGCGAGAGAAGACCCAACAACGGGGAGAAAACCTGATGACGGGAATCCGGAACTCCGATACCTAACAGAGACGGGATTTACGCCGATGCTATGAATAAGCAGGCAGTACGCTATGGAGGCAGTTCAAGTAGCAAGCCGCTGTCTGAGTTTAGCACCGGGACGGGAGGTTAGGTTGCCTTGCTACTTAGAGCCTCTCTGGGTTGGGTTGACAGTCGCGGATATCGCCCAAGGTGTAGGTCTGTGGTAAGGATGAACTAGCGAGAATGCACAGTCCAAACATCATCCGAACGCCTTCTCTTTTTTTTGTCAAGTCACTGCAAAAGTTGTTCTTCTTTTTGACAGTCCCGCTGCAACATGAAATTGCCTCTTTTTGATGGGGCAGCTGCCATTCAGTGGTATGGGACTACGGAAGGAGCCAGTGACCATGGTGCACTACCAGAACGAGGCTAAACCACATCTGGGAGCTTGCCGGTCCTTGTCGATACCGACTTTGACTTCTTGGCTCCATCGTGCTCCAACACTACCGGCGGAAGTACCACGACACACCACAGGTCCACGGCAACCGCAGTCCTTCGAGTCCACACACCATTCGCATCCTGATCCATTCAGCATTCCAGCATTCCGCTCGACAGCAGCAGCATCGGCCACGGCCCAGCGCAGCACCGCATTGTACTTTTGAACCTGAGCTTGCTTCAAGTTCTCCTCCACTCCAGCCTCGGACATCCACCCACCGACTAGGGATATTCCCATAATTCACCATTGCGCTGCGCTTTCCACGCACCCACCACGACGGAGAAGCACGCAGAATCCCACTGAGAGGCCATCTTCCATTTTCGCATCTAGTGTAGGTAGTGTAGCAGAGGTATCTCTGCTTTTTGCTTTCTTCACCACCACCGCCGCCGGGCAACGAGTCCCAGTCTCTCCCAGTCCCAGTCCACCACGAGTCCACCCAACCACTCCTCGCCTAGGCTGCTTTGGCTGCTTTGAAACCTCTCTAACTACTTCCTCCAACCAAGATTCTGCCAACACCGACCTCGACCGACTTCCGTCCGCCTGCCCACCCCAGTCGTTGTCGTCGTCGTCCTTTCCGGCTTTCAGCTTGTGGCGACTGTGATTTGCCCAGCACCGGCAAACAACAGACTTTACCTAGGTAACAAGTACCTACGGCTTTTTTTTTTTTTTTTTTTTCTTTTTTTTTTTTTTCGTTTTCAAGGTGGGAAAAACCAAAGACAGGCAGAAACACTGCAACAAGCCACTACCTAGGTCAACCGCCAACCTCGACATCTAGAAGCACTTCAACGAACTCAACGGCACAGCGCCGAGGCCGACGACCATCTCCACCTCATCACGATCGCTACTAGGCACTATCACCAACATTGAACAACAATAGTCTTGCGTACTCGACATCACACATTTACAAGGCGCATCGACGACCAAAATCCTCGCATGCTGGCACTGGGTGCTTGGAACGACGGCCTGCGTACCATGATCGAAACATGACTCGCCCCGACACGACGTCCTCCCCACGAGCCCGTTATCCTTGAGTCCGCCGATTTCCCTTCTCTCGGCGACCATGGAGTCAGTCGCGATACCTCCACAAGACGACCAGCAACAGCTCGATCCCCCGGCCCGCATTTTCGAACGACTGCGCCAAATCGCCGGCTTTACTTGGGACGAGACTAAACCGCCTTACCATTCTACCTACGACAACTGGCACGTCTTCGGCACCCGATTTGTTTCGCCCTTTTCAACCACCGGAACCCCGGCCCCCGCCTCCCCGGCACCATATCCCAACACGAGCCCGTCGTCTTTAGCAAAGCTAGCGCCCGGCCACCGCGCACCCGCTCAGGACCGCCCCAACGTTTCGGCCTCTCACAGCGACGCCGGTAGTGATCGTTCCGCCACATCTCCCCCTACTGTTGCGAATCATGCTACCGATGCGCCTGTTGTCGAAGAACTCGTCGTTGCCAGAATATCCTACCATGTCCTCCGCGAAGAGAGGGCCTACCATATCGCCAAGAGCCTCGTTTCGACCGTTGATCCCAATGCCGAGCACATCTCGAGACCGATAGACCTCATTCGTCTGAACCCCTTGCCGGGCGATCGGGGGACTATCGTTGTGGGCATCTACGCATATTCTGGCGACAATTATTTGTTCAGGGTGTTGGATATGGGCCCGGCCTTCTTCTACGCCAAAAAGCACAATGACCGATGGGAAGCGCACCGCAAAGAGCATCCGGTCCTCGAAGAGCCCATATCACTGCAGCACTTTCTGGATTTCGCCATAGGCGCTACCCAATGTCTGGAGATGCTTCACCATAGCCAGAGCATTGTCCACGGCGAGATACGTCCCGACGCCTTCCATTATAACCTCGAATCAAACAAAATTAAAATAACGTCCCTCGGCTCTGGCCTGCGGTCCTTCGAGCACGGGCTGACAAGCACAGGCTGGTCTACACTATCCAAGGAGGTGGGCGCGCGCCATAAACTTCAGTACATAAGCCCTGAACAGACCGGACGGATGCCCGCCGAACCCGACACTCGCACCGATATCTACTCTCTCGGTGTTTGTTTTGGAGTCTCTTGACACAGCAGCCCGTGTTCCAGGGTGACACGCCGCTTGATATCGTCCAAGGTGTCCTTGGCCGTAGGATACCCAATGTGTCCCAGATACGAATGGATGTTCCCGACGTGATTGGCCGCATTATTCAAAAGTGCACCTCAAAGAATGTGAACGATCGGTACTTTTCAGCCAGTGGCCTTCGGCACGATTTGGTAAAGGTGCAAGAGTTGCTTGGGTCCGGCGATTCCCAGAGTCTCAAGGACTTCCAGATCGGTTTACGAGACGTATCTTCCTGCTTCCGGCTTCCCACCATCATGATCGGCCGCGACCGCGAGCGATCCGAGCTTCTCAAAGTTATCGAGCGAGTATCCAAGAGTCATGGGATTAACCACAAAGGTGGGGTAAATTGGGGTGCAGATGGATCTGTCTTGTCAAACGAAGTTGTTGACAGTGCTGAAGTCTCCAGTGAAGGCGCCAGCTCAGCCGAAGGCTTGAACAGGCAGTCCGGCTCTTGGGCCCTGGGTTTATCCCCGGACCCGAGAAACAGAGTCAGCTTGCCCCCTTCGGCCCTAGGAACGAACTCGGTGACCACCTCGGGCGAAACGACCTCGTCAGGCACGTCAACGGGTACCTCGACGATCTCGGGAGGCAACCGACAGTCCCGCCAGTGGGAAAAGCCAACCTTCGAAACCGCTAGCTTGAACGAGAATGTCAGTTCTGATGCATCGCGAAGCGGTGGATTGCTGGGCGAGCCCACATCGACGATATCACGCCAGCTCGGCTCCAAATTTCGAAAACAGAGACAAGGCAATTGTGAGGTGGTGATCATCGAGGGTACCGGCGGTCTGGGGAAGAGCTATCTGGTCCAGTCGATACTTGCAGATGCTCGCAGGAGAGGTTACTGTGCCACTGCCAAGTTTGACACGGCAAGGAGAACCGCCTTTGGGCCCCTTTTGCAGCTGCTATCCTCCCTCTTCCGTCAGGTCTGGGGCGAGAGAAACACCGAAACGCCTTTCCATCAAGCGCTCAAACACCATGTCCGGCCTGTGTGGCCTACGTTGCATAAGGTTCTTGGCCTCCCCGAATTCCTCCTAGGCCCGCCGGATAACATCCCACAACGATCCAACTCCACTAGCTCACAGGGTGGTCAGCCCGCGTTGAAACGACGCGGATCGTCTCCAGAGTTTGGCGGTAATAACATGTACCCAAATTCTTCGAAAGTATCGTCCGCCACCCAGACATCACAGGAGTTTCTAAGGGCTGGTGCCTCGACGCAGACTTCCCGCCTCACCAACACCTTCCTCGATGTACTGCGTATGTTTACGCATTACAAATTCATATGCTTTTGTCTCGATGACCTGCACTTTGCGGACGACGAGTCGCAGGAACTCATCAGCCAGATCATTGGTGCGCGGATGAAGATGGTCATCATCATCACATACCGCCCGGAAGAGATCGAGCCCGAGAAAGTCCTGCAAATTCTCAGCCCACCAAAGTCCGAAGAGCTACCACGGGGAGCTGGCGCGCCAATAATGACCAAAATAAAGCTTACACCACTGTCCGAGGACGACATCATACAGTTCGTCTCATCGACACTCTGTCTCCCGAAGGAAGATGTCACGCCTTTGGCTCTCGTCATCCAATCCAAGACAGCTGGAAACCCTTTTTATATGCGTGAGATGCTCAATGCCGGCTATAGGAAGAAGTGCATCTGGTATGACTACCTGGTTGGCGAATGGAAATATGACCTAGACAAGCTTTTCGATCAGTTTCAGGGGGAACAAGACTACGACGTTCTCGACACCGTTTTCATCACCCGACGCTTGAGTGAGCTGCCGCCCGCCTCGCGGTCAATCCTCGCTTGGGCTGCGTTACTCGGACAGACTTTCTCGTTTGACCTTATCTGCCGGCTCATGACTGGCGAGTTTCATTTTGAGGAGGACAAGGGCAATGGACAGCAAGAAGAAGATTGCTCATATATCATTCCCGCAGACGAGTCCGTCGCTGGACTTGAAGCAGCTATACAAGCCTGCATCATCGTTCCCAGCGATAGGGATGATCATTTCCGTTTCGTCCACGATCGTTACATCCAGGCCGCCGCCGCACTACAAGAGTGCAATGCTCGAAAAATGCATTTTGCCATCGCCCAAACACTACTCAAGTACCACGCCAACGATCGCACTTACAGGGACAATGCGGCCTCCCACATTTGCGAGTGCGTAGATATCATCTGCCAGCAAGTGCCTCACCGGCGCTCGTATCGGACATTGCTCACCCGGTGTGCCCAAGAAGCAGCCGTGAGCGGTGCAAGGCCTACTGCAGCGAAATATTACGGCAACGCTGTCGCGCTGCTTCAACCTGACCCTTGGAATGACGATGCGGGCGATTCCTCTTATGAAGAGACTCTCCAACTCTACATCCAAGCAGCCGAATGCTATCTTTACATGGGTCTTCACACCACCGCCAACGATCTACTCCAGACAATTCTCGCCAAGACAAGGACGGCAGTTGATAGGGCCCCGGCCTGGGTACTGCAGTCACGAATTTTTGCTCAGGGCGGAAACTCCGAACAAGCATTGGACTCGCTCCGTTTGTGCTTGAAAGCCTTGGGCGTGAGCTTCGACGACAACCCATCCCTTGAGAAGTGTGATGCCCAATTCGAGCTCCTGTCCGTACGGATACAGACAATGGACCGCAGTGACCTAGTCAACCCGCCCAAGACGGAAGATATCACTCTAGCATCGCTTGGTGCTGTGCTCACCGAGACCGTCAGTGCTGGATGGTGGAGCAACTGCCTGTACTTTTACCAGCTGTCGCTCTCTATGATGGAGTTACACCTGGAGAAAGGTTCATTCCCACAGTCTGGCCTGGCGTTCCTATTCTTGGGTATTATCGCCTTGTCAAGATTCAACATGGTACAGTTCACTGTTGAGCTGTCCGGCATTTTTCTTGAGTTGCTGGAGAAGTATCGCGAGCCGTATTCGATGGCCAGAGGCTACATGATCTATGCCAACTTTGTCGGCCATGTGCAGTTCCCGCTCGGCGCCATCGCCAACCAGCTTGAGGCATCAGTCGAGTACGCCGCTGCTGTGGGAGACCGGATCTCTGCCATTCTTAGCTTTGGGCTAGCTGCACAGCTAAGGTTCTTTGCTAGCGAAAACGTCACCGATCTCGAGGCCTTCTGCCAGTATGGCTGTGAGGAGGTACCGAACTGGCATCTGGACACTCGTGGCGGTGCAATTCTCATTGGCATCCGACAGGTGTGCCGTGCCTTGCAAGGGAAGACGCAAGTGACAGATCCTTACGAGATTATGAGCGACGAACAACATAAAGTCTCAACTTACAAGTCCTGGCTCTCATCTAAGGCTAGTGGGGACAGGACGCTCATGTTCTACGAGTCAATCGAAATCGTTCCGCTCTTCCTGTATGGGCACTATGAGCGAGCCATTGAGATTGGAGAGGTTTGTTACAAGAACAGCAAGTTGGTTTGGTCGGCCAGAAACGCAAAGCTGGCTCAGTGGTTCTACGCCTTGTCCTTGGCTGCTGTGATCCTCCGCGAACAGCAAGACCCTCGGCGCTTGGCAGACGACACGGAGAAGTTCAAGAGTCGGGTCGAGGAGACGATTGAGAAGATCGACGAACTGAACAGGGGGCTGAAGGACTGGCAGGCGGTTAACAATGTTAACTACCTGGCTTGGACGAAGCTGCTAGATGCTCAGGTATCGGAGATCCGTGGCCAGTACGGAGATGCCATTCAGCAGTATGAAGAGGCGTTGGATCATGCTTCGGAATACAATTTCCTGTTCGAGGAGGCCCTGGGCAATTACTTGATGGCCAGTGTCTTCATTCGCCACAAGGGCAGGCGCTCTGCCCGGTCCGCCCTTCGCGACTCTATCGCTCTCTATCGCCAGCTTGGTGCCACAGGAATTGCCGACCTCATCGAAACCGGGCATAGTATCTTGCTGCATGGCCCCATGCGCAACCCTCGTACCGCTGATGCTGGTGTCCAGACCGATTTCACTGGCGACGCTGCGTCTGTTCAATATCGGGCAGTAGACGAAGAAGGATTGGAGGACGAAGAGGAGACGGCTCAGGCTGCAGTCGCAGCGCTGAAAGGGGAACGCATGACGGCTTGGAGAGGCTCAATGCAACCAGAGGCTGGGGTTGGCTTGCCAGCACTTGATATGATCGATCTGCACGCGATTTTGGTCTCATCCCAGGTCATATCCTCGGTTTTGAGGGTTGATGAGCTCCTCAAGACCATGTGCGACGTAATCCTACAGACGTGCAGCGGGTCCGCTACCCTGGCAGCTCTCGTGGTGTATGAAGATGAGAAACAGAAGGATGGTTCGCCCCTGTGCGTCGCTGCGAGTGGTGACCCCGATAAAGGAGCTGGGGCGCACATTCCCGGCATTCCCCTCAGTGGAACTGACCTCGTGGCCGAGAACGTTATCTTGTACTGCTCTCGCTTCCGTGAGGTGGTCTTCCTCCGAGACCTTGTGAGCGATGAGCGGTTCGGTAACGTTAGCGAAAGCTGGCTTCGGAGGAACCCAACAGCAAGGCAGTGATTGCCATTCCCATCTTGCATGGTTCTGAAAACCCGCTCCTTGGCGTCTTGTACCTCGAAGGTGTTCCCGGCTCATTCACAGACCGAAACGTCACTGTTTTGCAGCTTCTCGTCAACCAGATCGGAATCAGTTACTCGAACGCTCTGGCCATGAAGGCCGTCGAAAAGGTCTCGGCCGAGAACGTCTCTATGGTGGCGATGCAGAAGCGTGCTTTGGCTAAGGCGGTTGAAGCAGAGACCAAGGCCAGAAATGCGGAAGCGGAAGCGATCCGCAACGTCAAGCTTGCTGAAGAAGCGGCGAAGGCCAAGTCAATTTCCTCGCCAATGTCTCCCACGAGCTGCGCACGCCCCTCAACGGTGTGATTGGAAACTCGGAGCTGCTCAGGGATAGCAACTTGAACAAGGAGCAACTGGAGATGGCTGACTCAATACGGGTCTCGGCGGACCTCCTTCTCACGGTTATCAACGATATCCTGGATTTTTCGAGGATGGAGGCCGACAAGATGAAGCTTTACATCATCGCATTCAACCCCGAGGAGATGGTTCGTGAAGTTGTCCGCGCAGCATCATACAGCAACAAGGAAAAGACATCCAAGAAGAACGTCAAGATCGTCCACGACATCAATCTTCCTGCCATGTTGATCTACGGCGACCCCATTCGTCTTCATCAGGTCCTCGGCAATCTCATCGGCAACAGTCTCAAATTCACAGAGGATGGCTCCATCACCATCGGGGCTAAGGTGGACTCCGAAACTACAGAGAAGGCGACGTTGACATTCTGGGTCAAGGACACCGGCATTGGCATTTCACCACAGCAACTCGACAAGCTCTTCCTTCCCTTCAGCCAAGCCGACGAGAGCACAGCGCGGAAGTATGGCGGCAGCGGTCTGGGTCTCAGTATTTGCAAGTCGTTAATCGAATCGACCATGAAGGGTAAGATCCGCCTGGAAAGCGAGGAGAACGTGGGGACAACCGTTTGGTTCACCGTCACGTTTGACAAGGCCAAGCCGGAGGTGATGGCAGGTGATACCCAGAGCACGTCTCCTGTTCAGATGGAGCCTCCACGGGACCGCCAACCGCGGCCACTTCCGGGTGCTGCAGAAAACGGCGATGCCGGCAGCGAACAGGTGCCCAGACCCTACATCGACCTTACCCATATCCCACGCAACCAACTTCGAATATGCATTGCCGAAGACAATTCCATCAATGCCAAGATTGCCATGCAGTACATGCACAAGCTAGGATATCCGAACGTCGACACTTATGACAACGGCCTGAAAGCGGTTGAGGGTCTGCGGGAGAAGGCGCGACAGGGAAACCCCTATCACATCATACTAATGGACGTACAAATGCCAGTGCTGGATGGCTACGAGGCGACGAAGATGCTAAGAAACGACCCGATCGATGCTGTCCGCAAAATTCTCGTCATTGCCATGACGGCCTCGGCCATTCAGGGTGATCGAGAGAAGTGTCTCGCTGCGGGCATGAACGATTATCTCGCCAAACCGGTACGAGGGGAGCTGCTGAAGAGGAAGCTGGACACTTATCTGGGAGCGAGCGCGAGCATGAGTTTCACTACCCAGGTTGGTCAGCCCAAAGTCACTACTAACACCACTGCCACCACCACTGCCACTACCACAGCCTCCACCACCTCTTCAACTCCCATCACAACCCCAACAACCCCCATGACTCCCATAACCCCAGATCAATGAGGCCAAACATTTCTTGACGTTGGAGAGTTGTGGTGTGCGAGTGCTTAAAATCTGACGCCTCAGCTTGTGAACAGCGATTCCTCGAACGGCGTTTCGCACAAAGACCCAGCAGCCCCCAACCCATCAACCCCGGCAGCAGCAGCAGTCCCAAAAAAGACGTTGACACTCCACTTTCCTCGCCGGTTCCACCTCCTCTGGCTGATAACACCGCTGCTTCTGCTTCCACTATCAAAATCGGAGTGGGATCCGCTGCGGCTTCTCTACGAGAGGTGGCGGCGAACAGCGTGAGCGGCAGCGGTTCTGCGCCGTCTTCACCCAAACTCATCCCTCTCAGCGGCGGCATCAGCAGCAACTCGCCAGTGAACAACACTAAGAACAACAACGGCCACAGAAGAGGCAGCTCACACGATATCCGTCTCCTCCAGGCTTCTGAGTCCGCGACAAGCCTCAGTAACGTGACAAACACCAGCGGCGGAAGCAGCAGCGGCAAGAGCAACAACAGCAGCAAGAAGACTTCGCTGGACAGGCCTTTGTCCTCGCCATCTTCGTCCTCCAACGAACGACGAGGATCTGTCCAAGATTTGGCAGCTGGTGGCGACAAGGGTGACAAGCGGCAGCCTAAGAAGCTGGTAAAGGCTCGGAAATGATTTCGTTCTTCCCTTTCCTTTTCCTTTCTTCAATCTCATGCATTTGGTGGGTGGAAAAACAAAGCGGTTAAGGGACAGGAAGGGGAGGGAATGGGCAGGCATCTTGGTAGCCATGGGAGTTGTGGGGGCAAAGAGGTATCATAGGTGGTGGGGGGAAACAACATATACCATAGAAAGAAAGATAGACATGCGATTTTGGACAGGATGTACGAGAGGAAGCAAGAGAGAAGGAAGGAACGAAGGAAGTATGATGGGCTGAGATCATTAGGACGGGATGGCGGGCACGTATAGGAAGCGTTTTGCGAAATGTGAGAAATGGGTAGATGTATGTACGGGTTTTATATCCCGACTTACCTCAGGTTTACGTGTATGTGTGTGGTGTGGTTATGTCATGTGCTTTTTATACTCTTTCACATGATCTTTGTCTGGAACGGAAAGGGAATCCGGAAGGCGGGTTCATTTTATGAGCGTTGCAGCGAAAAGCATATGGAAATAGTTAGTGCATGGAATGATTGGAATGGGTGTTTGCTCGGATGTTGTTGGCGCATCGTCGGAAATGTGAACGGTGGGAGGTCATCTATCTGACGATAGTATGGCTTGCACTTTTCCTAGATATATTCGAGCTGTCTTCGATTCGGCCCCATATCCCGTCCGGATATCAACAACTCACTTTATACAACATGATACCATCCCAGCCACCTTGTCTCGTACAAAATAGAGCTATGAAGCCCATTGGCCCATTGGCTCATTGACTTGCCAAGTACGTGGTGAACTTTCCCATAACCAAACAAGACAAAAAAACAATTCAGGTGGTATATTATGATCTCCTGCAACAACGCTTGCTTATCTGGCTTGTATCTCATTCCATTGCCCTCCTCCTCCGCCCACTTGGAAACCAAATCCACAAAACTCTCATGACGACGACACCGAAGCAGCACCAGAAGCCGCTGCCCCAGCACCAGCAGCAGCATTACCCGCGCCCGTCGGCTGAACCGGTTTCGTATACGTAACCTTCTCAACCGCAACATTCTCCACCCCCTTCTCATCCTTCCTCAGCTGATAAACATAAAGCGTCAACGAGATGCCCTGGACATCCATCAGACAAAAGCTGGGCACCACCTCCTCGTCTTCATCAAACCCCTTGTCCTGCTCTTTTTGTCCCTCCCCACCGCCGCTTCCGCTTCCCCCGCCGCCAAGGTTCACAGCCCACGAAGCAGCAGTGGTAGTAAACGCTCCTGTCGCCGACCCGGGGTTCACAAAGAACTTGTCCATGTACTCGAAGCACTCGAACTTGTGCGTGCCGCCCCAGCAGAGCACGTCCACGTCCAGCCGGTTGGCTTCGGCCAACAGCAGGTCGGGCTCGTTGCTGACGAGGGTGAAGCCTTCGAGGAAGCCGATGCGGAGGTTGCCGTGCGTGACGACCGAGGTTAAAGGCAACGAGGTCGCTTCGACGTCCATCCGCCCGCGAACGATTTTCAGGTCGGGAGCGATGGTGCGCAGGTATTCGTAGGTGGAGCGGTCGGTTAGGTTGCCGAGGCAGAGCGTTTGGGAGATCTTGCCGGGGGCGAGGAGTTTTTTGAACTATGTTAGAGAGGGAAGGGGTTAGTGGCGTTGTTGCTGCTAGAAAAAGAAGAAGAACAGGAGGAGAAGGAGGAGCAGGGAGAGTGTGGTGGAACGGCCTACTTTGGCGGGAATGTCCAGGGCCCGGTCTGGGATATGGAGGTCACCGATTACGAGGATTAGGAAGGCCATTTTGACGGATGGGGGTTATCTGGATGGTGCTACTAGGGTATCTTTGGGTGTTTTGTCAAAAAGAAAGGGAGCCGTCGTGAGTCGTGAGATGACGTGTGTGGGAAGCTGTCGAGGCACAAGGAATTGGCGTTGTCGGTCAGATAGCTTGTGGCGGGGCGTGGACTGCCGTGGTGGTATGAAGTGCGCCGTGGTCTGATTCGTATTATGGTATTATTTGGCGATGTCTATTTTGCGACAAAAACACCAATTGGCCGGGAGATGGATAATGGGCAACAATGACAATGCGTCCCGTCGTCAAGGTTGTTGATGTCTCGAGCTTGAGCTTCGGGCTGCGTAGGTACAAGTGACAACTGAAGTGACAAGGTGACGAAGGGGGGCCGATGTGGAGACGCGCGGACCTTGTCGGGTAAGCTGACAGCGACGGGGCCGTAAATTGAAGCCAAGGAACACGGGAGCTTGGAGTTGCTTGGCATGCCGCCGCCGTGCGCCGTGGTCCAGCTGCAGCCGGGTGTGGTGCACTGGTGCCCCTCTCTGCCCTCCACATTCCTCCCTACACGCCGGGAACGTGGGGTGCTTCAGGACTTCCATGAGTGGGGGAGGCTTGACACAACAACCTCGACGCCCCTATCCCCCGCATTTGAGCCTCCATGGAGGAACTTGCCTGAAGTGGGAAGCTCCAGCCTCGACCATAAACGGAGGATCCGACCCCCGGCCCATCCGTGATGCTCGCTGACTGTTCACGACGGAATTGACCCGATTCACGTCGTCTCATTAATTTACGGGGTCCTGCTATGTAGCAGTCCGATCCCGGCGGAGTCTTGAGCGTCGAGGCAAGTGCCAAAACGGTTGACGGCACCCGCCGCGCCGCCGGAAGCATGCCAGCGCAGCTGAGACGGGGAATAAATAGCGACTCCCAATCGATAGCGGTTCTTGGGTCCTACGTAGGAGGTGGAAGACGAGCGGACCCTACAGCAAACGACAAGGAAGCGATAAATTGCCAACAACTAGTCTTTATTTTGCGGAATTATGAATTTTTTCAGTTCTATTGAAGGTTTAGTTTTAAGAGTTATAATAACTTTATTTGTTATAATTATTTAAGTTGCAAACTACTTTAGTATTAGAATATTTAGAAGTGTTTATGTTTAATAGTATGATAAGAACTGCTTGGCTTTTATTAATTTAAATATAAATTTACTTTCAAATGTATTAGAAAAATATTTGGAAATTTAAGTTACTTGAGGTTGGTTAAAGTTAGTTTTTCTCTTTTATATAGTTTGAAAGCCCTTAAATTAAAATAATATATGTCAGATATAAGAGTTTCAAAATTATATAGAAAGATATGCCTTAAGTAATATATTATATTATAGTATTTAAGTAAACCTAAAGGTTCTTTTTTGTAAGTTATTTTACAATATAGGTGTTTGCTGCAATGCTCTAACTGGCTTATAATAATAGCACCAGTATAGAGATGCTATAGTGGACTATGCACTTGTAGTAGAGCGGAGCGAAAGCGGTAGGAAGTAAGACAGCAGTACTGAAGAAAGCAGCGTAGTTGCAAATACAATAGAATGATGTTGTAAAAAAGATCTTAGAGAGAACTCTGCTCTCAAAATAGAAGAGTATAGTAAACTCTGCACTACAAGAGTAGATTGTATTGTATTGCTTACATTGTGCTTGCTTAAGAAGTGACTAACTAAAGGAGAGAAGAGGCTTTTATATATACGAACGTTAAGTATCTAAAAGCTTCCAGATTATAGAAGCTTTTGTAAGTTAATAGGAGTGCTTGTAAGAGCACTATACTACAAAAGGAATGAACTGAATCTATAAGCTTCTGATGCATTCTATGATGAAAAATTAGTCTAGAAGGAATGCTGAATAAGTTAGAGAATCCCAGAATACAGTGGCAAAACTTCTGTATTCTAGTACATTCTGTAGAGGTTAAGTAGACTGATTCCGTAAAAGGAATAGTTCGATCAGCTTTCTATACTACAATATAGTACAAAGCAGTTACAAGGCACAGTACTAGCCACACGTTAATAGTAGGAATGAAAAATTAATACCAAAGGAATATAAAAATTAAAAACAGTAACTATTAAAAGGTTAAAATATTGTAGTAGTATAAAGAAAACCGCAAATTCTTTTTTAAAGTATACTAAATATTTATATTCTCTAATATTCGTTTACTTTTATATATATCGTAAATTTCTTCATTTACTCTTTTCATTTTTCCTACTATTAAAGTATAACTTTAAAATGTAGAAGCATTTACATTTTGCTTTTATGTTGTACTTGTCATGGGGCTGGCGCCTAGAAGTATTTGCCTGGCTTGAACTCTATGTAAGCCAGGCCTGCCCTCCGACTGGGTGCACTCCTGGGGTGCGCCGCACGAACTACATTTTCGACCTTGGCGTTTCTAACACCTTCGATATCCGCACCTCTCTTGTGTATTTAGCTGTAAGCTCCATGCCATACTGGCATAGACTTCCCTTTTCTTCTTTGTCGAATATTATCACTTTCACCAAGGCCTACCTGCGTGTATACCTCGTAGAACCCTTACAGTACTTAGGAGTGAATATAGGCGTAGCATAAATATAAATATACTATATTAAGAATAGATAAATGGAAATTACTAGAGACAAACGTTTGTTTCGCTAATTATATTTCATTTACATATTAGCGATTATCTTCTCTTTACCCACTTTAATAAAAGGTAATACAATTAGTAATCATTAATAATAATAACAAGTATTCAAAATGTAAATAATTATAATATTTGCTTATATCTATCTACTATATTACTTTTACGCTAGTTAGACGGTTTACGATACTAGAGTAGTTTGTATTGGAGTAGTTGAAGTAAGTTGGACGGGAGCTTCCATTCGGCTTATTGAAGGAATGGAGCATCTTGGGACGGCTGGAGCCAGTCAAAGTATAAAAAAACAGGGGGCCACACAGAAAGCCCAGAACCTCAATGGTCCCTCTTGGTCCCCTAACATCCACTTCCGTGTTCCCATTCAGGGGAAAGCCAGAATTGCGGAATGCCATTCTTATGTTGACGCATTATTTAACTGGATCTTGGTGGTTCTGGAACACACGGAGTTGGTTCGGAGTCTCTCATAGGGAGTTCACTATAAAAGTACTCGTGCTGGCGGTAGATCCATAATTCCGCTTCGGCACACGTTTTGCCGTCCATTTCTTCAAACTCTTCCCTACTTCATTTGTTTGTGTTTCTGACTCTGACTCCTGTCTGACCGACTCCCCGTCTCGCTCACTTGGTTGTTGTGATTCCCCTGTACCGTAGTCACTTGGTAACAGACACTACAGTTCAAGTCTACCAGCATCACCTAACACTGGGAACAGCCGCATTAGTTCGGGGTAACAGGTGGAGGAGCCCTGCATACGCTCCCAGCGCTTTCAAACTGGCACAGTCAACGTTTCTTGCACGCTCGGCGCTTCGGCGGTTATCGGGACTCACGGGAGTAACATCATCGATGCCCCGCTCCAGCGGCCCGGTCGACTCCCCCGCTCGACTGTCTCTGATCTCGAGGCACCTGGCTCCCTCTTACCCACTCAACACTCCTTATACCGTCGAGAGACACCCGGACAACATCGACACTTCTCTCTTGCCCAAGACACAAACCCGCGCCCTCACTACCGACGCCAACTCTTCAGCCAAGATGTCTACCCAGCCCGAGCACCCGACTCTCCTTATTCCCGGACCCATCGAGTTCGACGATGCCGTCCTCAACTCCATGAGCCACTACAGGTAAGAACAAGATTCGAACAGGGCATCCTGTCGCAAACTATATACACGGGGTACACTCAATGCGCAAGTCGCTGACCGTCTTACAGCGAGAGCCATGTCGGCCCTGCCTTCGTCAATGTCTTTGGCGAGACCCTGTCGATGCTGCGCAAGCTGTTCCAGACCACGGACTCCTCCGCTCAGCCTTTCGTCCTGTCCGGCTCCGGTACCCTTGGTTGGGATCTCGTCGCCGCCAACCTCATCGAGCCTGGTGAGGATGCGCTCGTTCTCAGCACCGGTTACTTTGGCGATGGCTTCGCCGACTGCCTAAAGGTCTATGGCGCCAACGTCACCCAGATCTCTGCCGAGCCCGGCAGCCGCCCTCAGCTCCCCGAGATCGAGAAGGCCCTTTCCGAGAAGAAGTACAAGCTCCTTACCGTCACCCACGTCGATACCTCCACCGGTGTCCTCAGCGAGCTTAAGAACCTTTCCGAGCTCGTCCACAGGGTTTCCCCCGACACCCTCGTCATTGTCGATGGTGTCTGCTCCGTCGCCTGCGAGGAGATTGACTTTGATGCCTGGAAGCTCGATGGTGTTGTTACTGCCTCCCAGAAGGCCATTGGCTGCCCCGCCGGTCTCTCTATCTCCATGTTCAGTGGCCGCGCCATCCAGGCCTTCCAGAACCGCCAGACCCCCCCTACTTCTTACTTTGCTTCGATGAAGAACTGGCTTCCTAGTGAGTACCATTTTACTCTACAACGTACCCATTTGATACCAATTGCTAACGCATGCTGCGCGCACTACAGTCATGCAGAACTACGAGGCCAAGAAGCCCTCTTACTTCGCCACTCCTTCTCCCCAGCTCGTTCGCGCCCTCCATACCGCCCTTACCCAGATCGTCGCCCAAGGCGTCAAGGAAAGGTTCGCGGCCCACAAGGCGGCTTCGGACAAGATCAAGGCTGCCATTGCTGCCCTCGGCCTCAAGCAGGTCGCCGCCAACCCCGACGACCAGGCCCACGGCATGACCGCCATCTACCTCCCCGAGAACGTCAAGGGCGCTGAGCTTCTTCCCAAGCTCGGTGCGAGGGGCGTTGTGTTCGCCGGTGGCATCCACAAGGCCATCGCCGCCAAGTACATTCGTTTCGGCCACATGGGCGTCAGTGTGTTGGATCCTAGCAGAGGCCATGTCGAGAAGGCCATCAAGGCTCTCGAGGAGGGTCTGTCCGAGTGCGGTTACCAAAAGGCTTAGATTGGCTAAGTGCAGGGATGTAGGGAAGTGGTGTATATAAAAAGCTGGAGTCAGTCATTTGGAGTCACGATATATACCATCTTTCTTGGGTTTTGTTGATTGAGGAAAAAGTTCTCCCGATCAGCCTGCAAACGAACCTTTGCGAAGCCGTTGCATGTGAATTCGTCGAAACGCCCTAGCAAAATTGCAGAGTGCAGTGACGTGCTGTGAGATGCAAGAGGAATGCGTCGAAGAAAAATAACACCCCCTTCCCCACATCTTGCGAATGGAGTCACCCTGTCACCGTCCCTCGAAGGTAACTTACCCTTGCATAAAATGGTTGCATAAATGGCAACTCACTTCCTTAATCGGCGCAAAGCGATTCAGATATTCTCCATACTGTAAAAACATGCCAGCTTAGCAACACGTCATTTTCATGAATGCGATTACCTTTACAACTAATAGTTGGGCGGGAGTTCGCGATACTCCAAACTCTTAACTAAGAGGATCGACATGCCAGCGATCGAAGGGGTGTATTCGATAAGGGGTCTTATCAGTTGAAGGTACCTTCGAGGAGTACCGAGGCGAAGGCGAGCAAACTGACAGCCGGCAAGCCTGCCGCGAACTTCTCATCGTCGTCTGGACAATCCAGGGTAGCGAAAGCGGGGCAATCCTGACGCCTGGGCCTAGGCATCTGGGGGAACATGCGGAGCTAACAGCGATGTACCGGATAGATGGACCGCACTGAAAGACGCGGAGATATCTCAGGACATATCCGGCTTAAACAACACCAAGCTGCAAGAGCTGTATGCTGAAGCAATACGACGTCAGGAAGCGGTTTACATAGTTGTAGAGTTGAGATATGTTGGGTGACTGGAACCGTGGTGAAATCGCCCAAGTTATCTTGGTACTTACAGAGTTTAAGTGCATGGCCTTGAATCTGACCATGCATTGATAGCAAGCTCGCCTTCTTTGTTGACCAACAAAAAAAAAAAAAAAAAAAAACCAAAAAAAAAAAAAAAAAAAAAAAAAGAGCGATTTGGATCATTGTAGAAGGAATATCAAGCTCACATATCATGGGAGAGTATCTTGTTGAAACCCATCATACACATCCTTTTATCTAAGAGAGTTCACGGCAGGAGGTTTTGAGTGGCTTTGGGCTGCTGCTAAGACCACAAGTACCTTACCTTTTGGGTTGCGCGAACGGCACCTGAAACCCGACGTGGCCAACGTGCTCCAGTGGTGCTATCAAAAAAAAGGACAGAAAGGGAAGTCGTCCCAGAGGCGCGGAGTCCCGTCGTCCATTCAAAGGTCCAGCGAGCGCGCGGAGGGCGTCAACACCTGTATCAATCTCTCAACGAGCAAGGGCGTGCATGCTAAATCGAGACGGGAGGCTGGTGGGGTCACGGTTCGGCCTTCTGAGCTTTCGACCCGATTCTCAATTGTCCTTCACCAGCTCCATAAACTCCGTCATCCCACTGCAAATTGATCCCGCCCACTGCACCGCCGCGCGCAGGCCCTTCACGCCTTTGCATATTTGCAGCCTCGAGGTTCGCTTTTTTTGAGCCAAACCTTTTTTTTTTACTTGCACTGATCAACACGCTCTCCTCAACAATAACCCGACTCGACCCGTTCGTTGTTTCGTTCTCTCGCCCCAGGCTCGCGACTACGACGATTGTGCCCCACGTCTACTCCTCCCGTCTGGATTATTCATTCCATCTCCCGTCCCCAGCAACGGCCCAAGCCCGCCGCGCTTCGTTTCGTTTGGCACGCACCGTGACCCGGACGGACAGAAAGACCTGGACCTAGGCCGTCGCACACCACACCTGGACCCAAACAACTCAACACCCCTCACCTCACATCTTTCCACCAACCTACATCCCCGCCAGACAAGCAAACCGAGCTGTCCATCTCCTCCTCTCACCAGTCTCGCCGACCTTTTGGTAGCAGCAACCCCATCTTGCTCGAGACCGTTCTCTGTTTCAGCTACCCGCTGTACCTACCTCGCTACCACCCCTCTGCATCCCAACCCAAAAGTAGAGGAACGCGACCATGCCCCTCTCCATCGAGGAACTGGACAACCAAGTCCGCACCTTCTATGAAGGTCGCGGCGAGACGGTAAATTGTGGCGCCGTATTTTGCTTAGTTGGGTGTAAATGCTGACTTTCGCTTTCCTGTCTCAATAGCAAGCTCAAGCCCAAACTGTCTTAAACCAGGTACGCCCCGTCAACACCCAAACGCTAGCCTCTCCTCGTCATGACAACCAGGGTTAACATGCATCCGTCAAATAGTTCAAAGAAGATCCCGATGCCTGGTTGATGGTCGACGAGATCCTCCAGAAGGCCACTTACGAGCAGACAAAGTGTCCGTCCACCCCGCCCACATACCGAACAGTCCGTCTCCAGAATGTCTTATACTGACAGGGTTTGTAGACTTGGGGTTACAGGTCCTCGACAATGTGATTATGACGAGGTGGAAGGTGCTCCCCCGCGAGCAGTGTCATGGTAAGCAAAAGCCCTGTCGTCACGGAAGCTTTCTACTCCCCCCAGTCACTGACGCCTCTCTTAGGTATCCGTAACTTCGTCGTCCAGTATATCCTCCAATGTTCGAGTTCCGAAGAGCTTCTCAAGGCCCACCGTGTCTTGCTCAACAAGCTCAACCTTGTTCTCGTCTCCGTCCTCAAGCAAGAGTGGCCTCACAACTGGCCTACCTTCATCAACGAGATTATCTCCGCCTCCCGTTCGAGCCTTTCGATCTGCGAGAACAACATGATCATCCTGCGCCTCCTCTCCGAAGAGGTCTTCGACTATTCCGCCGAACAGATGACGTCGACCAAGACACGGAACCTCAAGACTACCATGTGCGCCGAGTTCTCGCAGATTTTCCAGCTTTGCCAGGAGGTCCTCAACTCCGCCAACCAGCCCAGCCTTATCAAGGCCACCCTCGAGACTTTGTTGCGCTTCTGCAACTGGATCCCTCTCGGTTACATCTTCGAGACCCCCTTATCGAAACGCTTAGGACGCGTTTTTTGGAGGTTCCCGAGTTTCGCAACATTACCCTCCAGTGCTTGACCGAGATTGGTGGTCTGCAAATAGGAGGTCCTACGGGCCAACAACCCAACTATGGCGAGGCCCTCATCAAGATGTTCACCGAGGTTTTGACGACCATCTCCAACATTATTCCTCTCAGCATGGACTTGAAGGCGACCTATCCTGCCAGCAATTCTCGCGACCAGGAATTCATCCAGAACTTGGCGCTGTTCCTTTGCAACTTCTTCGGCATGCACCTGCCCGTAAGTAGCCAAGATACTTTTGAGTTGATGATTGTAGCGCTAACATGGCATCTAGCTTATCGAAAACCTGCCGAACCGTGACTTCCTCACACACGGCCACTACTACCTAATTAGAATTTCGCAAATTGAGGACCGCGAAATCTTCAAGATCTGTCTCGACTACTGGCTCAAGCTTGTCCAGGAGCTCTATGAGGAGATGCAGGCCTTGCCCCTGTCCGACATGAACCCTCTTCTTAGTGGTGGTCTGCAGACCAGCGGCGCCCCGAACCCGGCCCTGCTCAACAACTACCCTCTCCGCAAGCACAAGTACAACGAGATTCTTTCCAACTTGCGTGTCGTCATGATTGAGAAGATGGTGCGCCCCGAAGAAGTCCTCATTGTCGAGAACGACGAGGGCGAGATTGTCCGCGAGTTCGTTAAGGAAACCGACACTGTCCAGCTTTACAAGACCATCCGCGAGTGTCTCGTTTATCTCACACATTTGGACGTGGTCGATACCGAGCAGATCATGACTGACAAGCTCGCACGCCAAGTCGATGGATCCGAATGGTCATGGCATAACTGCAACGTTCTCTGCTGGGCCATCGGTTCTATCTCTCTCGCCATGAACGAAGAGACGGAGAAGAGGTTCCTCGTTACCGTTATTAAGGATCTTCTAGGACTTACCGAGATGAAGCGGGGCAAGGACAACAAGGCTGTTGTCGCCAGTAACATCATGTACATTGTCGGCCAGTATCCCCGCTTCCTTAAGGCGCACTGGGTTCCTCAAGACTGTCGTCAACAAGCTGTTTGAGTTCATGCACGAGTCTCATGAGGGTGTCCAGGACATGGCCTGCGATACCTTCATCAAAATTGCCAAGTCCTGCAGACGCCACTTTGTTGCGCTCCAGCCTAGCGAGTCTCAGCCGTTCATTGAGGAGATCATCAGGGACCTTGGCAAGATTACTTGTGACTTGACTCCTCAACAGGTTCATACTTTCTACGAGGCTTGTGGCTACATGGTAGCTGCTCAAGGCAACAGGCATCAGCAGGAGAGGCTCCTTTCCGAGCTTATGCAGATTCCCAACATGGCGTGGCAGGAGATCATTAGGCAGGCTAGTCTCAACCCTAACATCCTCCAAGATGCCGACACCATCAAGGTTATCGGCAACATCATGAAGACCAACGTCTCTGCCTGCTCATCTATTGGTACTTATTTCTTCCCCCAGATCGGCAACCTGTATAGCGACATGCTTCAGATGTATGCTGCCACCAGTCAGCTGATTTCGGAGGCTGTTGCTCGCGAGGGTGAGATTGCTACCAAGATGCCAAAGGTCCGCGGTCTCCGGACCATCAAGAAGGAGATTCTCAAGCTCATTGAGACCTATGTCGACAAGGCTGAGGACCTCCAGGCCGTGCGGGAGCAGATGGTGCCTCCTCTCTTGGATTCCGTGCTTGTTGACTACAACCGCAACGTCCCTGGAGCTCGTGACGCCGAGGTTTTGAGGGCCATGACCGCTATGATCACCAAGCTCTCGGCTTTGATGGAGGACCAGGTGCCGATCATCATGGAGAATGTCTTCGAGTGCACGCTGGACATGATCAACAAGAACTTCTCCGAATACCCCGAGCACCGTGTTGAGTTCTTTAACCTCCTCCGCGCTATCAACCTTCACTGCTTCCCTGCACTTTTGAAGCTTGATAATCGTCAGTTCAAGTTCGTTATAGACTCTTGCATGTGGGCTAGCAAGCACGACAACCGCGATGTCGAGACTGCGGGCCTTAACATGTGCCTGGAGCTTGTCAACAACATTGCCGAGAAGACCGACGTCCAAACCTCCAACGCTTTCTTCAACCAATTCTTCGTCAGCATCCTGCAGGATGTGTTCTTCGTTCTTACCGACCAGGACCACAAGGCTGGATTTAAGACCCAGTCCATGCTGCTCATGCGCATGTTCTACTTTGTCCACCCCGCTGATGGCTCCCCCCCAAGGATCCAGGGCCCCATCTACCAGCCCGATCAGGCCCAGCCCGGTACTGGCAACAAAGAGTTCCTGACCATGTTCGTTGGCAACTTGCTGCAGAACGCTTTTGCCAACCTTACTCCGTAAGTTTTTTTTTCGCCGACTTCGAACCTTGTATCGTACCAAGCTAACTATAGTGCAAAACAGTGCCCAGATTACCTCGTTTGTTGAGGGACTCTTCACCCTTAATACCCAGTACGACAAGTTCCGCCTCGCGCTGCGTGACTTCCTCATCTCCCTTAGGGAGTTCGCCGGTGACAATGCCGAGCTCTACCTCCTGGAGAAGGAGCAGCAAGAGACGGCGGCCAAGGCGGCGGATATCGAGAGGAGATCCAAGGTTAGCGGTTTGCTGAAGCCCAGCGAGCTCGAGGACGATGAGCTGTGACTAGTTGGCGAGGAGCTTAGGAATGAGTATGCGCCGACTTACGAGTCGTGCCGAGATGACGTACCACCAGAGCAGCCACACATGAGTGGACTGGCTGGTGTTGGTGATGTGGTGAAAGGAAAAAGAAGCGAAGGCGGCGGCAAGGATCACAACCAATTCGGTGGCGATGGATGGGAGTTTTATGGTCTGTGAAATGAAATACGGCGGCGTTTCTTTATTATTTTTGTGTTTTGTAAGTCCACCAAATCAGTCGTATTTCTTGTATGAAACCAAACCCGGCATTACTTCAAGAGCCGACTCGCCAGAATCAGTCAATATAGTTACTACTATTGAATGAGTATCCTGTTGCCAGCCTCTGTATTTGCTCTTCTCATTCGTATGTTAAGGAAATGAGAAGATTTGGTCGACGGTAGTCCACTTGTCTGGTTCACCGCATGCGAAGAAATACCAGCAATGCACGAACAAGGAAGATATATTAATCAGATTGACTGATCTAATAGCTGATCACTTACTCCGCTCGTGATACACTCGTCATTTGCCTTTCTCTGTACATCCTCTGCAGTGTTGGATTTGGACACTCCCACGTATGTCGACCACGCGGCAAGGTGAGGCATCGGGTAGAGGTTCTATTGTTTTCTTAACACACCCCGCGTCTTCTACTGAAACAGTAGGTACACCTCCCACTGGGTTCCTTCCTTCCCTCCTTCGCCTTGTGCCTTCCCTTCTGCCTCGTTCGCTCCTGTTAATAACTTCGATGTACGTGCTCACATCTGGCCGTCGGAAGCAACGAACTTTCTCTTTTCGAGCCCACAATCATATTTCCTCGTCGTCAACTTCGTCATTTCTCTCACATATGCTTCGGGTACTGCAGTGGCTAATTGCTATCCACGTGTGAGGTTGATACTATGCTCTCTTCTTTATTCTCCGTGTTTACATCTATTCTTCACATCTTGTCACCGCTTTCCCTTTTACACCACGTACAGCTGATTCTGTTCAATTCAATTCAATTAGCCGCCCGTCAACCCGAACGAATCTGGACGTCACAGTGCTTAACCGAGCCAGAAACTTGGGTCTTGAGATTTTGTGGTTAGTAGGTGGGTAGGAGTGAACAAAAGGGGGATGAAGGGGGGTGTGGGATAGTGAGTGAGGCTGGACAAGGGACACATGTAACGATGATGGAATGAATGCAGCGCCGCAAGACAAAGGGGGAAATGAATAAATTGGAGAGTTCTTGACCAAAAGGTACCTAGATAAGTAGGTAGGCGGTCGGATCGTGGGTGATGCAGACGTGGGAGCGAGGGAGTCCAGTCGCTCCTTCCTCACGCGCGGCCAGCGAGGCGCTGGACCTTCCCTCCACTACCTAGGTTGGCCCGGCCTTTATAAGGTCCCGCTTTAGCACCTCTCAGTAACTCCAAGATCCCTTGCACATGGAAGCAAAGGTTCCCTCGTGCTCTAGCGGTATATGGGCAGAGCCAGATAAACATTGCTCGTTCGTGGCGTTTGTAGCGGTGGTACAGTTTTTGTAGGCCTGTGTCAAGAAGAGTGGATGGGTTCGACCCTGCTTTGTCCGCTGAGCCTTTTACATTTTCTGTGTTTCTTTTTTTGTCGTCTTTTTTGGCTTGTACATCGCCAAAACGCCTTTTCGCACGTTTTGTTTAAGCTGGTAGTTCAGAAGTTGGAGGAATTCCGACACCCCGTCAACTCCAGTCCTAGAATAAAAAAATACTTACGTATCTTAGAGAGTACCAATCTGTTATAGGAAACGAACTTCAGTGTGTTACGACTATATTAATGTGTCGGTTCCCGGTCGCTTGCGCAACACCTGCGGGCCATCTATCTATCTATGTCTGCACTCTGCAGCTTAACCGAGCGGCTCGAGTGTCGCTTGAGAGAAGAAGATGGTGTCCACGCCTAGTAACTAGGACAGAATGGGATAACGGAGGCGAGAAATGAACAAAATCAGGCGGTTCTGCCCAAGAACGGAAGTATTGAGCGAGTGTCGTTCCTGTTTTCATCCAGAGGAGGCTCTGGCTCTCCAAGATTTCAACTTTCGCTTACCTCCTGTTTAACCAGGGACTCGTGTTCATCTGGATATCCAATGGTAAATACCATGACAAGACCGGTTGGACTTCTGCCGACCGGATCGAACCTGTCTGGTTCGATTAAGGAGAGCAGAAATATTGATGGGCTGTGTTAGGGGCCCGGTCGCCCTGATGCTGTCCTTTTGTTTGTTTGTTTTTCTGGGATGTTGGCTCTCAGTGCCTTTAAGAGTTTGTGACCATTTTGGATGTTGCTTGCTAGCTCCCTTAGGAATGAAGATCATGTCCTTTAACACGTCCGGTTCGGTAGGCCATCAGATTTTGAAGTAAGCTCAACGATGACCTAAGGTAGGTACAAACGGACACCGGGGTCACTAACTGATATAACAACGCCGTCGCCTCTACATGATGAATCAGTTTTTCCACTTTCCTCTTCTGTCGATAGAGATTTCAGCAAAAACAGACTGACCTTACAACGACATATATGCGTTTAATAACAAATTAGACATTGCGTCCAAACTGCACGCTTGAAAGCGGGAGACAGGGAACAAGAGCCGGCGGCGAGGGAGACGAAGTCTACAAAAGACCCAATTTTGCGGTTACCTCTCTTCAGTTAAGAGAGGGAAAGCCTAACCTGTAAGTTCTGCCCTGTAGATATAGTATGTCTGTCGTCTTAGCCGTTATAACAGCCAGGTGATTGACAACCGTGCCGCCCCGTTCCCGCGGTCGTGAGCGGGAGCGCGGGTATTTCGACGAGACAGACGAGAAAACAATACCCTATCAGTCCCACAAATGCGGCTCGCTTGATTTATTTCGTCCAATTGAGGAAAGTGAGCATTTATCCAGCTGAGCTTTTCTAGGCAATGGAAAGCTTATAGGAGACATTTATCCGGATAAACAAACTTGTGAGTAACCCTGTGGAACACTTGGGGGTGTTGTGCCGCGGAGCCGCGGAGCCGCGGAGGCGAAATCAGCGTGAGTAGTAGGTATATACGGACGTACACATGGATCATAAGCAGCCGGTGGTGTACTTTCTTTGTCAATTTAATCCAAGATAGCGTTGGGTAACTGGTTCTTCTTCCAGTTTTTGAGGCTCAATCAGACTTTTGGTTTGAATGTTGAGTGCTGAGTGTTGGCATGAAGTTATTTGCAGGCTTCTCCGTTCAAAGAGTGTCTGTCTATCTATTAATCCGTGTTGAGCTTCTCTAAGGTATCCGCGCCTCCGTAAGTGAGAGCCAGTCGGCGAAACGGGTCATGGTGACAATAATGATGATAACAGCTGTCATCAACAGCGTTCCTGGTACCGAGAACAGAGAGCCGGCAGATTCACTTCCATGTTAATCAAAACAGATGACCGGGCCGATACCTGAGACACTCCCTCTTTAAGTGGTTAGCTCCCGTGCTTTGTTACCGTTCTTGAGTGAGGCTCTTCACCACGGACGTAATGCGCAAGGTTTGACAGTGGCAACGATTGAGAAGCGGGAGGCGGAAGACGAGGGACGGCTGAAATAAGTCTGGGCCTCTGTTCAGTCTCTCCAATATTGGTCGTAAAAGCACGCATCCCTCTTCATCCAGATTGCGTTGCGTGATGGACCTAAATGGGAAGGACAACCTCTAGATAGAGAATTCTCCTCCGCAAGACCCGCTTACCGGGCAGAGCCGAGGCAACTTTTTATGATGTATTTCCAGTTCGTTCTAGTGTTTGGTTCAGACATTGCGAGTGGTTCACCGCATCACTTCATCACTACCACTTCCACACTGCCACTATAGGCATTGAAGACCATGAGATGTGGTAGCCTGGATGTTTGACACCAGATTGGGCTCACTAGTAAACAATACTCTCCGGGATCGGGATCCGGTTCCGCCCTCCCGGGCTCGGATCCGATCAAAGGGGGGACAGTTCCCTTCTGGGATAGGCAAGGAGCCGTCCGTGTAAGACTTTGCCGCTTGTCGTCGTCTTCTTCAGCCGCTTGCCAGGTTCACATCCTGTCTTGGTCCGCCGCGGGTCAGGTCCGCGGGTCCACAGATCAGATCAGTATCACAGACGGGACCAGATCACAGACCACAGCATCCCCCAGGCCGAGGGGCGAGAGGGCAACACCAACACGAGGCGTCAAGTTAACTCAACATGTTCTGTACTAGGCTGGTAAGAAGGCGGGGTTCAAGAGTGGCCGTTTGATTTTGTTGTGACAGTCATTTGGCCGATGTCAAAGTTGAGTGTCTCTGTCGTTGGGAATGTTCTGCTCGAGGGGAGCACTGGATGATGAATGACAAGAAGTGTACTAGTACTGCATGTAGCTGACGGGAGATTGCGCGCTTGTGTGCTGCAGTCACTGTCAGTGTAAGTGCGTCCCAAATCATACAAAGTCTGGTACGTAAGGTAGGGTAGGGTCGGTGCCCCAAAGAAGCAGTAGGAGTAAGATGGAAGGTGGTACTGGTGTGTTTCAAGTCAATATGATGGTGGGAACGGCGAAGGAAAAGAACAAAAGGGGGAAGGAATGAAGGACGGGAACCGCGCAACAAATGCGGATGTCGACAAAGGTGAATCTCTGAGAACATGGACTCAGACAGGGGTGGAGCCAACCGTTCCTTCGTTCGTTCGATGAATTCTTGCACCACCCCCCCCCCCTTTTTCTCACCACCACCAATAACCCTAACAATTCTAAATCTCCATGTATTCTCTCCAAGACTTCTCCAAACTCGATTTCCACATCTGGGCCGCGGTTCTCGATTGCGCCAAACCAATTTGGGTTTCGTGCCATAGCTCCAAGCTGTTAAGCCGACAGGGGTCTCGACTCGCTAGGTGCAGCCCTATAATAAGCAACGTCATCCAAGGACCACTGCAGTTCGTCAGTTCGTTGTCCACTTCACTTCCAGGCTGTCACGAACTGTCAGTCTCCAGTAGGACCGTGTCTGTCACCGTACCCGACCCGGAATCGCTCTCGCCCCGACGCGGCGACGACTAGGTAGGCACAAAAGGTAGCCATGCTTCCGCCCGTGCCGTCTTACAGACTATTTGATCTTGAGACGAGTCACTAAAAGTTCGTGCCGGGTTGCGGATAGGACGGAATAACTTGCACCTTGCAAGTGCCTGTTTCGGAGCAGAACTGCAGAGGTGGTACGGTAAATTTCCATTCCCATTTGATCTCTCGCTCGAGGTACCCAGAAGTAGGGGCTTCTTTCGTCAGGCAGACACATTGCTGAAATGAACCGAACCGAAATGGACAAGAGAGCACCGCCGGAGACTCTGGGTACATATGCACGTACCTTCCGAGTTGGTGGAAATTCGGGGTGTCTTCAGTTCCTTTCGGTGTCTCGGCGTGTGTGATGTTGAAGCTCTCTTTCCTTGTGCCATCCAGTGTGACGCTCCTGCAGCTAGCGTGCAGCGAATGAGAAATTGCCCGACATCCACTTTGAGAAGCTCCAAAAGGGCACCAAGACTCTTTTGAGCTTTTCAGCTTCCACCCTTCCAGTACAGTAGGGAAGGTACTCTGTGGAGAGCCCAGACTGTAAGCTTCCCCCTCCCGTCCTCTTGAAATTTGTTGGTGTGCCTGCAATCATAATCATAGATCCGTACGAGGCAACCGAACTCATCCAGTTACCTATTCTGTACCAAGACGCCGACAAATGCGTCGATGTCTGGTTGGTCTCCTTTCGCTTGGAGTCTTTTTCCGTCGCCTTGGCTTGCCTTACCCAAGGTTGGTCGGTGATGGATGGTGTGCTAGAATGTCAAGGGCTCGCGCGCGTATGCGTGAGGGGTGCGTGTGTCTCTTGCGTGTGCCTGGCATAGAACATGGAATCGGGTTTTCTCTCTTTTTGAGACCCTTCCCAACTAGGAAATAGCCGTTGAGAGATCGGCGAGGACATCGTTCGATAATTACCACACCCCAACAACAAAACCCAGGCTCACTAGGCAACCTGGCGTTTGTTCGAGAATCTGATAATCCCTCCATGGGCCGCCTTGATATGTACGCCTGGTCTGGTTTAGGAAATGCTTGCGCCTTGCGAGATGTGCAAGTCCAGTCGGAGAGAAAGATGGAAAAGAAAGGTAGCGTGCCATGTCATGGAGTTGACAACTTGACATCCATGGTAAAACGCGGCGGCATCCTGGAGGGGTATACGACCTGTAGTATAGACATCAGGAAGAACTTTTGGAGCATCACGGCATGGACTTTGTAGTTTCCGCTGTTCAGCTGCCCG